GAATGCCACCTGCTATTCCATCTATGGTGCTTCCGCCACATGTCCCTGTACCAGATTATTCCTATGCTCCTTATTCTCCCTACCCGATTGCTGGAGTTCCTTTCGAAAAATCTGGTAACGAGAAGAAAAGGCAAGCTTCCCCTCTTCCACCTGTCCTGCCAGTTCCTCACGGCGACCTGCGCCAACCTTGGCTTCATCAGAGCGCTTTTGACCCGAGAAACATGCCACCAATCCCTGGGCCAAGGAATTTTGCAAGACCTCCATATATGGGTCCAGGCTTTCCTGGTAATGCATTGATTCTTGTCAAGATTCGTTAGAAAAGGCTTACACAGAGTAATTAAATTGTTTTGATTTGGATATATTTAGTTTTATGGGTAGGATCCTTGTTCACTTCTAGTGTGCGATTGCTGTTGCTGTTTTCCTGTTCAACATAGGGTCTGCATACTATATGCCAGTCCCACCGCCTCCTGGAGCTCTGAGAGGTCCTTACCATCCACACTTTGCTTCATACCCTTTAAACCGAGGTCCACCAGTTTCACCTCCAGCACATATAGACTTGGGGGGCAGGATCATTAGACAAATAGAATTTTATTTCAGGCAAGTTCTCTTCTGTACATCAATTTTTTCTGTTCTGTAAATTCTATTTGTTGCCAGTATCTTTTCAATTTTTTGTTCGTCTATACTGTTCATGGTGTTGTTACCTCATACCTGTTTAATTCATATCCTTTTATTTCAGCGATGAAAATCTTCCGACTGATTATTACCTCATTTCCCTTATGGATAAACATGGATGGGTTCCCATAACAAAAGTTGCCGACTTCAGAAGGGTAATTATTTGTCATACGTTTGAGCATGGACCAGCTTTTTACTGGCGTTCTACCTTATTGACTTATTTTCTTACTCTTGAATTACAGATTAAGGCGATGACTACGGAAATACCATTTATTCTCTATGCCTTGCAGTTCTCCAGCTTGATAGAAGTTCAGGTCAGACTACCTACCACAAGCAAACTTTGCTTCTTCCAATGATAACCAATGACCACCTTTGTAATCTGGTTTATGCAATAACGAATTCTTACTTTTACGAATAGAGTTTGTTCGTATCATATATTGGGAGGACTTGAAATTTGTTTTTGTGCAGAATCCTATCTTTTTCTTGGATTCTTTGCATATAATATAGTACCTAAGGTTTACTAGCATCAAGAAACTGTCAGTAAAAGTTATCTGTCACTACTAGAAGGAAGAAGTTATATGTTTCTCTTTTGCCCATGCTAGTTAAGGGAATCTTGATTTGTTTTGATTGTAAATTATAATGGTTTTTGATTTCTTAGTTTGCCCTATCGGTCAGCTCATCAATTTGGAATTCATGGTACCATTTTACAGGGCGATAAGATACGCAGGCGTGATCAATGGTCTAAATGGGTTCCTGCATCTAAAAGGCAAAACCCCGAGGAGAAAATTGGAAATAATGGTGAAGAAGATCCCTCAAAGCATGATTCTTGCAGAGATTTATCTGTGAAACCTTCTGAGGATTCATCTTTAGAGGTATCGAAGCTTTGTTTTATTTGAAGTGTGTTTCGATAGGAAATAAAATCTTAGAAATGCCCGGTCACGTTTCAGAGCCATAATCTTCCTTCCATGAATTGAATTGCAGGGAGCTGAGTCCTCAGCAATCAGTCCTGATGGAAGCGAGAACCTGGAGTCATCTTTGGACAAAGAAAGAAAGCCGGATGACCTGGCAAGTGATTTTTCAAACAAATTTACGCTTTGAAGAGCTGGAGCTCCAGCAGAAAAGCCCGGGAAAGGTCGGGCTTTTGTTACAACATGATATAAGCTTGGCGATGAGGACAAAGCTTTGCTTGAAGAAGAAGAAGAAACCAACGAAGACCAGGAAGGCACAACCACCATACCGACTATTCTCGAGCCACCTCTCACACGCTCAATCAGTTTTCGGCCTATACAATGGAAGATTGCATGAACCAGCTGCTGCGGACAAAACATTCAAGACCAAGAACGAGCTCAAGCGAGCCAGGCGACATGAAGGACGTCCAGAAATCCCATGTCGTGGAAGCCATTGAGATAATCCCGAACCATCCTAAATTGGATTCGAAGCCGTTGAAGATACTGGAAGCATATTCAGACAAATTTTTCCCCTCTTTTTGGATGCTTATTTGCTTTATTCCATCTCTATTTAAAAAGCTTGTACGGAGACCATTTTTTTGTGGATGAGGAAATAAAAACTCATTATCGTTTCGGCCTCAATTGCCATTGTATTATTAATGTGTTGTTGTTGGGGAGGAGACAACAACTGAATAAGCCATCATATCAATAGCGGAAATAAGGCGCGAAAGGAGATGGTGCCACTTTTCCGTACAAGGCGGATCTTTAGGAACGAATCTAAACCGTCAAATCCAAAACCTATCTGAGCAATCCGATGGATAGCAAGCAATCTAGACGATCTAAGCTGTTCAATGTGCATAACAAGATCTGTACCGTCAGTTTCAAAAACCATTTATATTTTAGGTTCGATCGCAGCCGTTCATTCCAACAAATGAATCCTTACGGTCGATTCTTGAATTTAATATGGACCTAACGATGGTTTTTCAATCGATCTGAATCATCGATATTTGTCAAATCAATACGGACCGCCCGATCTTGTCAAACGATCTCAGCCGTCAATATTTTAAGCAGTATGGGAGCCGTCGATTTATGAAATAAAACAAGGCCGTGCGATGTCAACGGTCGTTTGTCGTCAGAGGAAGAGGAGAGATTTGAACAAGAACAACTGCTGCCTTGTCCGACCAGTTTCAACAGCATGTGTCAATACGACAACTATACATTAACCATGTACTCGTTTAACTATAAGCCGCTAGCATATCTTCCTTCTGAAGGAAGAAACAGAGAAATTACGGACAGTTCGATTTAATAATTTCTTTTGTCACGAATGAATTTGTCGGGTTGTGACAAAGTGAATGCTGATGTGGATTTATCCACGTGCACAAACAGTGGTATAAAAATCCCCCAAGCCCTTTTGGGTGGGAGGATAATATTAAGTTGGTTGAATGCTAGCTGGGACAACTGTACCTCTAGACACATTGCACTTCTTGCATGGCAATCTGTCACCTATGTCGTTTAGACGGAAAGCAACACTAAAATCCTTCTCGAATATCGATATTACTTTCCAAGTATACGACAAGACATTACGGCGGATGGCAGCTGTGTTTCGACAAACAAAGCCAGACCTCGCATCAGAATTACTACAAAGATGGTTTGAGTAACCATTTTAATGGGTTTGGTTCTTCACTGCTTCCGTATATTATTTCTATTGCATACATTCTTATCGTCTACTTGATCGTGGTGATATATGTTCCCAGATCTCTCTCTTTGATTATCTCAACTTTTCACCTATTTTCAATAGGTTTGAACGTAAAGTAATAGAAATCTCAACTTTTGACAAAAAAAAAAAGAAAAAAGAAGAAGAAGAAAGTTACTGATTTCGAAGGTTGTAAAAATCTATCACGATGAAGTCATTACAACACGCACCGAAAAGAGAGACTTCAAGAAGTTCAGAATTCCATCGAGAAGAATCCTAGAAAAAATCTAAACTAAATATTCGGAGGTTCCTTGATATTTTCTAAAATAAAAAAAAAATACTATACTTTTTAATTTTTAAAAAAAATACTGAATTTTTTTTATCAAATAAATATTAAATTTTTTAAGTTTGTCAAAAAAAAATTAATTTATCTACAATTGTTAAAATAAACAAAATAAACTGATGTTGTATAAAGAAATATAAACACGCTTTATCAAAAAGAAATATAAACAAGTCAAATTATTGTAATTGTTTTTTTTATAATTGCAGATAACACATATATTTTTTTAATCATTTAAAAAATTGAATATTTTTTTGATAATCGCAAAGAAAAATCGTATATTTTTTTAAATAATGTTTATAGACTCTTTTAAAAAATTTAAAGTTTATTTGACAAAAATGATTTAGTATTTTTTGTCAAAATTAAAAAATTCGATGTATTTTTTTTTTGAAATTTCTCTTTTTAAAAAAGTTATTTTATGAGAATTAATGTGCATTTTCAATTGTAAGTCTGTGTGAAAACTTATAAAGAAAACCCTAAAGAATTAGTGAGATTGATCTAAGGCTAAAGCATTGCTGAGACATAGGATTCCACACCAGAATTTAAACTCATATATGGTTGTGCAAGTGTGTGTGTTAGTATAAAGATCGACCTAAATACACCTAAAATCAACCAAGACAAACCCTAAACACAAACAATAGAATACTAATCAAGATATAAATCAGATTAGGGATCAGGGTTTGAGAAACTTATCTTTCTGCTTGGAGTCTATATCGGTGCCGTGGTTGTCCCTGTGCAGGTGCGTCGTCGCCGGAATCACGTACCGTTGATAAGTACCAAAGGAATTAGTTAGGAACTGTCGTGGTCAATGGTGTGCGCTTCGGTCAGAGCAGAGCCAAAGACGAGCTGCATCGAAGGAACACCATGACCAGGCTGTGATAAAATCTTAGTGGTTGCAATAATGAGGATCGATAGTTTTAGAGGCCTGGGTTTCTTTAGATTCGATGAAAGAAGAAGGAGCAAGGGACAAAAGGGATTAGGTCACGACATAATTCGTGTTGGACTTGCATGTTGATTGTTTGACGAACTTTCAAAAGGAATTAAAGGCAAGAGGGATCAAATAATAATGACACTAAATCTACCGACAATGCAAACAAGAAATTAAAATAAAACATGCAACACATATAGAAGTTTGGCATCTGTAAACTTTTGTAAGATAGGAGCCAAGATCGACCTCATTTTACCATTAGTATTTTCTCTATACAGTAAAAGGTAGAATAATCTATTTTTACCATGTTTTAACCACAACAATTTTCTTAAAGAAGATACAACTTTCCCATCCTATTCACAACTTAAGAAAATCAAATCACCATAAAATAAAACATGCAGCGCATATAGAAGCATGACATCAGAAACATGTGTCCTAAGAATGTATCTCTTAGATTCTACATTCAAAGACTCAGCAGCGTAAGAAAATATCTCTTAGATTCTACCATAAATAAGTGTCCTAAGAATGTAGAAAATTCCAATAGATTTCCAATATTTCTAAATCGATAGAACAACAAAATATTATTATACTTTTAGGACTTATTCAGAAAACATGTTAGAATTCGAGGATTGCATATTGATTACCTTCAGATTTTTTTTTTTTTTTTTGGAGATCCAGCGATATCTTGTTCAGAATGTCAAAGTCAACAACCTTTACATGTACCTATGAAAAAATAGCAGTAACAAATTAAAATACAAAGACAAAACATTAATGGATATCAGCCTTGGCAGTTGTATACTTATATCCTAATGCAGAGATGAAAACCCAATAGCTATCATCTAAGGCCTTTGAATGTGTTGTCTAACCATATTATTCTTAGAATATCACACTGTGAAGATGTAAATCATGTATACATAAGGTAAGCCTTGAATATGTTTTAGGAAGTCGAATCGAAACCGAAACTTAAACGAATATAATATAATATAATATAATAAGCGATTGGTATTTATTTTTATAAAACCGGAAGAATCAAACCGAATCACTCTCAATCCGAATCCAACCGAATACTGAAACGTTCACCCTAATTAATCTGGTACTCCCGGTTTGATTATATCGAAAAGTCTTGGTGCATTGCTGCCAATCGGATCGGAATCGGAGGTACTTTTCAATTCATTTATATTGTCTCCTCCTTAATTTTTTTTAATTTAGTCTGGTAAGATCATGACAATTAAATTTGTTATTCGATCCTCTATTGGCTTTCGCTGTCCACCATCATGAGACAAATAAAAGTTAAAATATTTTTACAATATTGGAAGAATAACAACATCTTAATAGTGATTAAAGTTACTAACTTGAATCAAAAGATGAAATCCAAATATTTTTTTTTGATAATCTGGAAGCTCACCGAATTTTTGGTTCGACTGCATCTTGAGAAAATTCATATAAATATTCCTCCCTAAGTCAAAATTCGAACTCGGGTTGGAAAAGAGATTTGCTCCATTCTTTATCAGTTCAACCACCCAATTTTAGGTATAAAATATGAATATCGTTCTCTTGAGTTCGTAATTGTAGCTCTTTAGAAAAGATGATGTTTAGTTCATGTCATTCTCATCCAACCTAAACGAACTAATATGGATCGACTACAGTCTTTTGTCTTAATAACAAACATGCATACACGTATATTAAACAGAAGTGATTACCTTCGTCTTAACCTTTAAAGATGAAATGTTGGGGACCAGACTGTGAATCACAAAACTACTCGTCGAGGATCAAGAGGATAGAATGTCACGAGCTTAGTTCTTTCACGAACCTTAACCCATGCGGCACCTACCCACGACGGCTCCTTGCGGATTAGGTAAGCCTTTTGGACGAGTTTAAGAATACCGGGACGAGGGCATTGCGGAAGCAATACTTGAATTAGGCCTTTATTAAGTTTCGGGGAATACAAGATACGATGACTCGAGTGTACAACGACGAACGCGGACTATACAGACTCAGTATCATCATATAAGGGGATGGTTGTGACGTGACACTTCGTACGAAACTACAAAAAAAACACGCGGTTTTCAATAGAATTTTTCAACGAAATTTTAACGAATTTCAACGGTTTTTCATCGACAAATTCCGTTAAAATTTCGTTGATCATTTCAACGGATTGCCGTTGAAAAATTCCGTTGAAAAATTTCAACGTAATTCCAACGGATTTTAGTTGAAAAATAATTTTTCAACAGATTTCGGTTGAAAAATTCAACGGATTTCGATTGAAAAAATATGTTGAAATTTTCAACGGAATTTCAATGGATATCGGTTGAAAAATGATATTTCAACGGAAATCCGTTGCAATTTTCAACAGATTTCAGTTGAAATATTTTACGAAATTTAGAACAATTTTAGTTGGAAAAATCGATTGAACTTTTCAACGAATTTTTTTCTGAAAAATCGATTGGATATATATATATATATATATAAATAATATTTTATGTATATATATATATATTTAAACATGTATATATATAAATATAAATATTGATACGTATAAATATGTATATATTATGTATATACATATTTATTTTATACTATAGTG